TACAAGCAATGTTCGTAAGTTTGTTGATGCAACTGGCTTATAGCAAAATCGTTACTGGATATTTAAAATGCAGGGTTGGCCAGGAAATACCAGTGGTGGGAATTACCGGTGGTAAATACCGGTATTTCCCGTCCCGGTAAATACTACAAATTTTCTCTAAACTGGGAAATACTGGGAAATACAAAATTTAAGATTTTTATTTCTTTAATTCATTTAATCTCGGGCAAAATTCAGATATAAAATGAACATAAAAACAGAAGATGAATAAAATTAAATATGTCTCAAACTGCAATTTAACCTACTTAGTACAAATCACTACTCCAGGTCCACTACACATATAAAGCATTCTGTAGCAGAACATGTTTCCCTGATTGTATTTTAAGAACAAAACTGAAGTTTTCTAATTCAAGTTTCATTTCAGTAATTAAGTAAAATTATAAAGTTTATTTATTAATTATAGATCCAAGAATACAATAAACTTGTCTTAATCCTTCTATAAACACTGTATTTTTAAAATCAATCATGTTGTTTTAACAAAATGATTCTGGACAGTTCTGTGATCCTGTAAAAAGTGTTTTGAGAGATAATTACACCTTGAGTAGATCTGAAAAGCTTCTTCTTAGGTTTGATATTTACACTATATTCTACACTTAACAATTTTCTTAGGTCCTTCTTGTTACACAAAAAATCCAAATGGGATCAAGCATGAAACAAATGACACTTGTGACTGGGATATGAGTATACTGTGATATGATTAATTAAAATAAAGTACTAGGAAACCAGAAATTCTTATATCAGGGACAGTGATACCTGCAGGTAGATATCTTAATTAGTTAATAAGGTGTACTGTACATATTGGATGGCAATATAACTTATGTTAGTCACACCTAAGGTCTGTAATATAAAGCAGATGTATAGTTCCAAACAAATATGATTAAAATTATAAAACATGAAGGTATCTCTTATTTCCCGGGAAATACCAGTAATTCCTGGGAATTACCAGTATTTCCCACTGTCCTGGTAAATATGAGTATTTCCCACTTTTTTGCCAACCCTGTTAAAACGCCAAGTAAAAGTCAAACCAATATAGTTAAAAAATCACATCTTGGAAATAAGAAGTGTAGATCTGTTCATTAGTGACGTAGTGTGAGTATTGGTCTACTTTAATACATGTATAATAACATTTAAGGAGGCTGGGGGTCAACAAATTAACCATAAATTAACCACCAGATTTAACTTAATTTTTTAGATATGATATCTTAAGCTGTCAACTATCATTTGGCAAAGAAAAATTTCAAAAATTTTAGTTTTAAAATTTGATCATTTTCTATATCTTCATATGGAGCTCTTCTTCTAAAGGAGATCAATATAGTCTAAAAATGGCCACAACCCCCCAGCCTCTTTAAAGTGCATCTATCCAGGCTTAAAATAATATGTTTGATGTCAATTTTATACACTGAATTCCTTTCCATTTCTTATTCATAAATTTCTGCTCGTACAGTTGAGTTTGTACTTGCATATAAGCTAGGCTTATCATATTTGGCAGATAGGTGAAATATAATATAAGATAATGTGTCACACACCATACAGACCCACATATGACTTTGCCCTTAAGGTCAAATTACAATATTTTTGTATGTCTTTTTACCCCACAAGGAACCCATGGGAAGCCCAAGTGAACATGATATGGTTATAATTTACATGCTTAACTACATTAAATGAGCATCTATCCATGTTTAAAATGGCATTTGATGAAAATTTATTGTTTTGAATTCCATTTTCTGTTCATTGAGTGACTGAGAACTAATCTACCCACTTAATTTATGTGCAAATTGACTAAAAGAAACTGATTAATATGATTTGACTATATTAAATTATTTTACAAACTATCAGTTCTCAAAAATTTACGTTTTAATACTTAATTAAAATAAAATAATAATGCTGAGTAACGTATTTTACCTATCTTAAACCTGACTGAATAACGATCCCAACCCAAAAATGAACTGAACCGAACGTGGATGGAGATTTTGCATCGTGTATCAAACCAAGTAAAAATACCACGGTTAATCGATACTGCGGTGAACCGTTTCACTCCTGGGCATTTAGTCAACAGCAAATCAATCATAGAAACATTATTTATGAGCATAATGAGATGGAAAGACTATGGCCTAACTAGCATAGGGGTGAATCAAATTGCCACTCTGCCACACCCTCGGTCATCTTAATAGGCATTAGCAAATCGTAATGCAATGTACAAAACTAGATTTACAAATCACTAATTGACACATTGCAAGTCTTAAAATTACAAGTGCCGCATTAACAATTCTTGCATTAGATTTTACATTTTAAATAGTTGCAATAAGATTCTGACATTTCCTCACCATTATTTTGAGAGTCTGAATGACCAAGAACAAGAGCATTCCATTTTAGATTTTTTTATTGCAAAAGTGTAATGTCAATACTCATTTTGGTGGAATTTTAGAGGCAAAGACGTAATCCTTTATGTTTTCCTAGTTTTAGTTTTGCAATGATACTCTATTCTCCAAATAAACCTGTAATTGTACAGATCTCTGAACAAAGCAAGGTTGAAGGTTTCTTTTTAAAATAATTTATTGACTCTAAGTCTAGGTGTTGAAGCACTGGTATCCTAAATGCAGTCAAATCAAACTAATTTCAATTTACATGCTTAAAGAAGCATTAGGTTAATTTCTAGCAAATCACATATTACAGAGTTTCATTTCTATGTTAATACAAATTGTACATAATGGCTGTATGTCGATTTCTCTATGTTGCTATAAGCAATGTGAGAATAAACTGAATTGAAAATTGAACAGACTTTATTTACTGCACATATCACCATGATCACTCAATAGCTTTCTAATCAATGGCCTGTTACTCTTTTAAAACCCATAATACAGAGTTTGAAATTAACAGTCGCCCACTCGCAATTTGCGACTAATGTTCCATGTGGGCGACTTAAAATTACGTTCAAGTTGCCCACATAGCATAAGAAAATTTACGATGATAAATATTTGTTTTTCAATTTTGTCTGAATGTTTTGTATTTTTCTCTTGAAAAATTTCGTAATCAGTAAAGTGCTTTATAATTATCCGTAAGAAGTACTTATACATAAAGTGTCTAAGTGATTGTGTTGGGCACAATGTGGCATCGACAGGTTATTGAGCCCAAGAAACCAAAAAGTACTGTTGTTTTTTGTGAATGAAAACGTGCCATGTGCTCTATTTATGATATTGAATGATCATATCAATCTTCATAAACAGAAGAGTTCCACTTCAAATTTAGATAAGTTGTGCGTAATGTTACAACGGATAGAAAAGAAACACGAAGCACATGATAAAAAAAAAAAATGGAAAATGGGGTTTTTGTTTTTATATTCAGTAGAAGGTGTTATAATCTGTGGGCGAATAAATTTTGATGTGGGCCCCAGAATGCAAGGTTCAGTAGCCCACATGGCTATCAAGGATTACAGGTTAGTTTAAAACCCTGATAATACATGTATTACTATTAGTTTCTTACGTATGTTGTTTGTATCATTAATTATTACATCGTGAAGAACCGAAACACTCTAAGAACCACTATTATTCAACTTCTTGTATTCATAGAAGGACGCCTTACTTTAACTCCCAAGTTAATCGTTCATTAATTTAGGCAAAATATTTCAAAGCATAAAATTGATTTTCTTTGCATAATAGCATAATTTTATGGTAAAAATCAGAAGAATTACAACAAAAGCGGAATGGTAGGCAGCTTTACGTGTTTATTTTGCGAAAAGAGCAACTGAAACTGGGAGAAAAAAGCGGTAATTTTTGACAGGGGAAAGGGGTAAGGGCTGACATTCAGACCTAAATTGGGTTTAGAAAAATCACTGCATGGTGCATATGAAGTGGGAACCCTAGTTAGCAGTAATCTGTGGATTTTATTTATCCTGTTCCCAAGATAAAATATTACAAATTTCAAGGGAAGAAGGAGACTTCCATAACATAGGATACTTTGTGCCAAATTTGGCTGAAAGTACTCAGCATTTCTTGAGTCAAAGATGAAGATGCAAAATTTTTAGGTCATATATACATTTAAATATATATAATATATATAAACTGATACAGAGAGCAAGACAGATGCAGAAAACAGTAGTTGGACAGAAAAGCACAACTTAGCCCGTGGCATTTAAATGACTCAATAATTGAGCTAAAAACACCTAAATTCTTTTGTAAAATAATGCCCATTTTTTTTTTAGAAAAGAAACAATAATAGGCTATACCCTCAGAATACACGAGTCAAAAAAAATTCATACCTCTTCAGTAAGATCTTCTCCATTGGCTTCAGACCACTTGCTATTTCTTCATTCATGGTTTCTTCCCAGTTTTGACGGTTTTCATAACTAGCACACAGAAGTTTAGAAACTTCACTACTTCGCCGTTTGTTAAAAAGGATAATTCTAGTCATAGCTGCTCCAGCTAACTTTTTCCAGAGGGTAGCATTTTCTCCTTCCTTTTCCAAATCTTTTGTCAATTCACTTATTTGTTCATCCAGGTGGTTTTTTAATAATACAAGGTCACTGGTTACAGGGAGTGCCAAAGGCTTATTAAATTTATTTGTCTGCAGAGTAGCTAAAGCTACAGATGATACTGCAGGTGCCCAGTCTGAGCTATGAATTTCCAAATATCCATCACATTCTTTCTTCATTGTTTCATCCATTTTTCTTATGGCATTGCCTCTTCTGATTTCTGCAACCTTCACTAAATTATGTCCAAGATTTAACGCCAGAGACGGAGTAGAAAATACAGATATTTTCTGCTCATTCTGATGGTAACCAGCCAAGTCTTGGACTGCTTTAACAACTGTATCAAAGTGCTTTGGAGTGATATAACAATGTAGATCATTCTCTTTATTCAACAACTCATTTATTTTGGTTTTTAATCGGGCCAGTTGTCTCATTCTTTGTGAAACATAGTTTGTTCTTCTGGGTCCCAACTGCTTTATTAGCACTTGTCCAAACTGTATGATTAATGGGTCGTCAACAAGAGCACTGTACACCTCGTCTTGGCGCATTTTTAACAAAACAGTTTCTTTCAGTTCTTCTGATACACAGACTCTGAAATCTTCCTTTTCTGCACAGAAGTCTATACCCCCTGCAAGTAAAAGCCTGGATCTTGCGATGATGCCTCGTTGGTCTTTTAATTTGGTGTTCTTAAAAGAGCATTTTCCTGTATGCCTCCACAGTTCCTTTTTAGAGAAAAATCCATAACAATGAATGCATGGTAAGTAATCCAATGATGTCAGGGTTTCTTTGCTTGGTCTTCTGCACACTATTAAATCTCCACTTCCTTCCTTGAGCACTTCTATGTTGTATTTAAAATTTCCTAGATTTTTAAGTTTATCAAACAACCTGTCTCTTTCACGCTTTGAATTTTTGGCACAGGCCTGAGCAACCATAAGTTCATGTTTGTGCCCATTTTCTAGATGCTTCTGAATCCTGTGGTTGAACACTTTACCACAAAAATAACAGCATAGCTTTTTGTTATATGGTCTCCTCCCATTGATTTTCCGAATTCTTTTGACTTTGACTGCAAGAAGAAAAGATAAAAATTCAAATGACCTTCTGATTTTTATTATTTGCATAATTTACTTTTGCAATTGTCCACATTTAATAAAAACACCAAGTAGTGAAATTACTTTTGCAAGGATTTAATTTTTGGCACTTTTTGTGAAGGTATAAGATTCATCATCAATGTTTTATATCACTGTAAATAAACCTATTTCCTGAACCTCTTTGATTTTTGCATGTAACTTTGATGGTCACATTTGCATAAATTGGGAAAATAACTGGGAAGAAAGGCACTTTTTCTAATCAAGAATGGGTCCAAATTTTGGACTTAAATACTTCATATCACTATTACTTAACTTAGCGGAACTTTTGTGCACTGAAGGTAGGAACTGTCCTTTAGATGGGGACAGTATGCTGTTGCATACACAGCAAGATTTAGTGACTGTAGATATTCAAGGATACAAGAAAAAAGTCCTGGTGAAATATCTTGCTTAACATTCAGTGAACCATGCTATTAAAATTCAAGAGGAGCTAGTCCTCTGTATTACATTTTAGTTGACACTTTTCTCTAAGCCAAATCAAATTCAATCAAATTCTATCATTTCTTTGTGATAATCATCACTTTTGCAGCTGTTTTGGAAGTCGATAAAATACTAAACATTCAAAATTAGACTACTTACTATCTGAAGTGCACCCTGGGCAAATACATTGTTCTTTCAGCATACTTATTGTTCGAATCTGTTTATCGTCAATAGCCTAAACAATTTTATGCCTCAGAAATCTCATGAGATTAAGAGCAGCAGTAAGTTATAGATAAGTGGGAGTTATCACGACACTATGTATTGGATGGATTGACAGGCCTAATTTTTGTGATCTTGCATGCAGCCATTCCAGATAAAAGTCATTTTTTATCAACTTATCAGAAGACATGGCAGCTAAGTAAAATTCTTTTCAATCCAAAAAATAACAACACTTCATAGAACCTCTTTAGGAACATTCATGCCAACTTTAGTGACCTGGCATGCAGCAATTCTAGAAATTTTCAAATGTATAATTTAAATAATAAAGGACCCCGACAATGAGAGATGATGGTTGTCAAGTGATGTCAATAACTGACAATGGTCTTTGACGAAATAAGCTAAAAATCTAAATACATGTATTTTTTCCAAATCTTGTCAAAATGTCAATATATTCTTTTTTAACTCCAAACATATGATATAAAAAGCATACCTTTATTGTTCACTAAACGATGAAAGGGCTTTCCTGAAATGTATAATGTAAATAAATAAATATGCAATGACAAGGTAACAGAACGAGAGAACAACAAACCATTGCTAAGTTGAAAAGTGGACAATATAATTAACTGATATGCTCTTATACCAAAAGGACAACATACTGACATATTCAAAGGCCTTGATGTATTGACATTTTGATAGATCCACCTACTAAAGGACTAGTTAACTATTGTAACATGAGCAAAGACATTGAAAATATGTTAAATTTCACATCTTTGCTAGCCAAGGGTTTCGGATACGCTACTCTCCTCATAAGCCCTTGGCATAAAGTGTTAAAAAAATTGGGTTTTTTTTCTCAAGTTGTGATTGGAGTTGATCGACATCGCTCGACCAATCAGCAATTGTTTTTTGAAAATGATGATATTTACATTTGGGATATATCTTTTCTCTTCAATATCGGGAATGGAAAACTCAAGTAAATAACGATCCATCAGATAACATGCCATTCTATGAATAGCTATATAGTGTCACCCAATATCTTAGCTACGTGCAAAACATGTGATTAAGAATCAATACTGAAGATGTAGATTAGCATTTTAATTTGTTTAAATAGCAAATTAACATAACTCAATACCTTCTTGTTAATTCTTCTTTAAAAGCATTATTTTTTTAAATACACTTTTTATTTCTGTCAATGACGCAATCTGCGTACCTGGTAAGAATCGCGATCACCAGTCTTTTGTCAGCACCGTATGCCAAGGGTTCATGAGGAGAGTAGCATATCTGAAACTCTTGGCTAGCGAAGATGTAAATTTCAATGCAAATGCAAACATTCATTTAATCATTGAAAGGTTATTTTTTTACTAATCTGCATTACCCACAAACAAACTGAACTAGTAAACTGACAGTCACCCAGGGCCCTGCAGTAAGTGCAGATTAATAATTTCAGCTTTTGACTTGACCTCTGACCCATGATCACAAAACTATGTGTCTTCTTCTAATTCTTCCTCTATCTTTGCAGTGAATATAAGTCCAATGGTTGACAAGTACTTGTCTAATGAGTAAACATGTCAAATACTGTAAAATCACATATTTTTGGGAGGCAAATTTTTGAAGTTTGAGAAAAAAATAATTAATATGTGGGGATTTGATTTCATGGCTGGAGAAGTGTTGAGTAATAATGCATATTAAATTTTACATTTCGTAGTGGTCATGAATTTGTGGGTCTCTCCATACCTTGAAAACAACAAAAATTAAATCCCTGCGAAAATTAGTGATTTCATAGTAAGCATTTTAAAAAACTGACATATAACTTGACATTGATTTAGTGACCCTGAAATTTATATGTTCTTCCTTATTTTCACCATACTCTATGCATGTAGTGAATATGAAGTCTGGTTGAAAAAAACATAAGTTAACATATCACAGAAGTTTTGACAGGCATATTAACAAATACACAATACAAGTTTTGACCTTGATTACTGATCTTAGTCTTCCTTTTACCATCTTCTACCTATTAAGTGAATACAAAGTCAGTTGCTCAAAAGGTACTCATTATCATGTCTCATAAGTGTTGACAGACACATCAATAATCTAGATATTAGAACTTGACCTCTAACCTAGTGACTCCATATCTCTATAGGTGTCTTTAACAACTTTCTATCTATGTAGTGATCACAAAGTTAACAGAATACAATGTACTTGACTTATATTGTCACACAAAAATATTTTTGCAGGCATATCTAGGATCTTGACTTTAGATCTTGACCTTTGACCTAACAACCTTATAATCTATGTTTTATCCTTTACCCATTTTCTATCTGTAATGAACACGAAGTCAATTGGTTGAAAGCTACTCCAGTTATTGTTTCAAGTGAGTGCTGAGTGATGTGGAAATCTTGATTATCGGCCTTGTGACCCCAAAATATAATGATGACTGCCTTTCATGGTGGGAAGGAGACATAATCATATCAAACTACTACAGTAACTGTAATAAACAGACACATACCAGCATCAGCCAAGTCCTCAACATCCGAAAATGCAGCATCTGAGTCCTCCTTAAACATTAAAAATACACAATTACTATAGTTACTGCAGCTAAAACATAACCGAAATGAAAGATCCAATTTATATAATACAAGAATATAAGTAACATATTAATTTTACTGATTTCTTTTTCTATCATTATTTTTTTAAGAATTTATTCTACCGTAATATACACATGTATAAAAAAGCTTAATCTAACTGTTCCTAGAAAGACCACATCAACAAGGAACTCTAAACTGTTTACCTTGGTATAGATAAGTTCATTTCCACATGCTCTCACAAACTGACCAGTAATGGGACATAATATATAACTGTCAGATTCCTAAAAATTATGAATTAAAATTTAGATACACTACATATAAAGGTATATAGAATACTGTTTTAATTTTTTTTTCCAAGTATGACAGTATTATACACGTTTTGAAGAAGCCAACAATGGAAATCCTGTACAGACAATTACTATTTGACAATTCTTATTATGCAAATGGAAATTAGTATTTTATTGACATTCACAACAATTTAACAATTATCCCTAGTATATAGCAATTGGAATGGCAGAAGGATGTATTTCTTTTTACAACAAAAATATGAGTGTAACATGAGTAAAGGTGGAAGGTTAAGGTCATCTAACTTAAGTATGATCAAAGAAATTTTGCCAGAATGCCACTGTGTATAAGTTACTTACAAACATAACTCATGGTGTTTGAAAAAATGATGAAATTTATATACTCTGACAAAGTGATTCATAAACCATGAACATGCATATATACTTAAGTCATCAAATGTATGCAAAACAGTGAACAGCAAACAGAATCATAAATGTATACATACTGACTGACAAACCATAAAGAAACACTCATAATTGTATTCACAATCATCTATATCATATATTTATACTTATACTAATCAAAAAAACATAATCAGACACATTTGCATTTTAAAAAAATCCAAATCCAGTAATTGACTTTCTATAAACATGATGATGACCTAGTGATCAACAATCCATAAACACATGCATAACTGAACTACCCTAACAGGACTTCAAAAATGTTAGAACAATCTACAACAGTGACCCACAATCCATGAACAGACACAAATATGTATATATGACAGTGACCCAAAACCATGAGCATTCACATATATATATGAATAATATGTATGCATATACGAAATGTCTAAACTCAGAAACACAAAAAAAGTCATGAACTACAGGAAAAATGTTAGAACAAACAATCTACAACAGTGACCCACAATCCATGAACAGACACAAATATGTATATATGACAGTGACCCAAAACCATGAGCATTCACATATATATATATGAATAATATGTATGCATATACAAAATGTCTAAACTCAGAAACACAAAAAAAAGTCATGAACTACAGGAAAAATGTAAGAAAAAACAATCTACAACAGTGACCCACAATCCATGAACAAACAATCTACAACAGTGACCCATAATCCATGAACAGACAAGCCGTGAAGTAACACCAACTAAAACAAAGCAATACAAACACTCATTTTTCATAGACACAGTGATTATATGGAACCAACTTGACAAAGACACAGTGTGCGGAAAATCTGTCGAGGCCTTCAAGACCGCCCTCGCCAAGATTTGTCAATAACATCGATAGCGCCTCTCTCCCGTCGTATAAAAGCCAGTATTGGTTACCACGACATACCATATACAGATACAGATATATACACAAATGTCTACAACCAAAGACACAAAAAGTCATGAACAAACTAAAGGAAAAATATTAGAACACATAATCTATGACTGTGACCCACAATCCATGAACAGACACAAAAATGTATATATGACAGTGACCCAAAACCATGAGCATTCAAATATATATGTATGAATATATACACAAATGTCTAAACTCAAAGACACAAAAAGTCATGAACAAACTACAGGAAAAATATTAGAACACATAATCTATGACAGTGACCCACAATCCATGAACAGACACAAAAATGTATATATGACAGTGACCCAAAACCATGAGCATTCACATATATGTATGCATATACAAAATGTCTAAACTCAGAGACACGAAAGTCATGAACTACAGGAAAAATGTTAGAAAAAACAATCTACAACAGTGACCCACAATCCATGAACAGACACAAACATGTATATATGACAGTGAACCAAAAACCATGAGCATTCACATATATCTGTATGCATATACACAAATGTTTAAACTAGGGATGTCAACGAGTATCGAATACTAAAAATGGTACTTGGTTTGTTTTCTTATGTTTTCTTATTTCAAAGTACATATTTTTATCAAAAACTTATCAAAAAATAACTTAAATATGCATATGGTAATTAGCTTGTCGTCATCTACACCTGTAAAACACATGTTATCGCCTGTGGTTGTATATATACGGTAATTATATAATGACCAATCATCTGGTACACAGCATTTTTAACACTTATTGTGGTCCTTAATTTTTGGATGGCTTCAATGATTGTTTTCAGTAAACAATAATAGTATGGTCTATTATCTTCTTAAATTATTTAATATACACATGTACGGCAGCGAAGTCAGACATGAATAAAAATGCCGCTACCCACTTCAAAAGTGAAGAAATATTTAGAAATAACTAAAGATTTTAAAAATGTTGAAAGTCAGTTTGCATACAAAGTTTAGTGGGAAACAACCAACATATGAAATAATAGTAGACTAGCGATCCCAACAATGTCCTTTCCTTCCCTTTCGCTAGTCTAACATCACAAACCTGCGTAACAGATCGTCTTCTTTTTTTTGCGTTGATGAAATAGGTCCTAAACAAGAACTGTAAACCATTTGTAATTTTTGATGTATGAATTGTGTCTTTTGTGTTTATCTGATAAATAAATTTGGTACCAAAAAATCATTTCCCTTTGACTCAGTTGTTTACATACATTTATAAACATGATAAAAACAGCTTTTGGATTTAACAGAGCTTAACCAGGCTCAAGAAAATTAACACACCTGTATTTTCATTTTTACCGAGTACCCGGGTACTCGATCTGAAAAACATCTGAGTAACCGATTATCAAAATTTGACCGATTTGACATCCCTAGTCTAAACCCAACGTTACACACACAAATCATAAACTACAGATAAATACTGTAAAATGTTATTACAATAACAGTGATCCACAATCAGACATATGTACAGGTTTATATGAAAGTGACCCACAAACTATGAACAGCTATGGGTCAACCACTAAACCAATATATGATTGATTCCTATCTCTCTGATTGGCTGAGATCTAACAATGTAAAACAAAAAAATATGTTGTTTTAACCTGCATGTGACCTCCCAGGTGAATATAAGGATTTATTTTCTCTACATTAGTCTAAAAATAGATCCAGAAATAGTTTTGGAAATATTTTCCTTGCACTGGACTTCCACTCAAGTGAACATAACATTAAGGAAAATATTATTTGGGGTGGGGGTGGTTGCGCAGGGTGTGGGGGGTGCAGGGAACCTCACCCAAAACACTTTTTTCTAAACATAAATGTTCACTTTTAATTTAGACTGAAAGGTTGATCCCACAATAATGGACCTTATTCCCCCCGGACCCCCACCCTAATACAAAATTTGAAGTTAAAATAATTTTCTTTTAGTGGGGGTTAGTCAAAGATTTTTTTTCAGCTGTCTTTTTTCCCTCATAATGCTCCCTCCTTTTCAAAATCTATCCTGTATAAAAGAGCCTGACATTTCCTTTTTTCATAGCAACTTAAGTCAATTAAAAATATTCCAAATGAATACAACTAGTAATTAACCCTGCTTCTCTTATCGTGTTTTGTATGGACTTCAACAAATGTAAACAAGTAAGATGGCATGTACTGCTTAATGAGTTGTATCATTTAATCACTGAATCATATAATAAAACAATTATTGCTGTTTTTTCGGTCAATACGATGATTTATCCACATTCAAAGTACAATATTCACCTGAAGGGAAAAAAAACAGCAATAATTGTGTAATGTTTGTCTCCTGGAGAATGTAAATACACAATTCAAGCTTTGATAACTTCAATAGTATTTTTCACTTTATACTGCAGAGTATACAAAAGCTTAATTTTGATCGGGATTGAGTTCCATAAATATTAATGCTTATAATAATATAATAATATATAATAATAATAATAATAATATAATACTGAAAAGGACAAGCATGAAAAATACGATCTGTATCTAGCAATTTGAAAATGATTTTCCTTCTTATTAAGCAGGCATCATGGAATTTCACAGAATGTTGCATATTGCATAACAAACTTTAACCAACTATGCATTGCAATGTTCATTATAGTGTACCAGCAACATTTATTGACAATTAGAAAGGGATCAAAAAACTTTTTTGAGACAGTCTTGTGACCTTTTGTTTGGGGAATTTTATGAAAAAAATGTATGAAATTGGGAAGTTATATTTTGGTAGAAGGCTAACTGCTCATGATAATCATACAAACAATATGCCTGCTAGATGTTCAGGAGTAAGGAAGAAACTTTTTGTAGATCACATAAATCTTTATGGTTTTGGACCCATCCCTCAGCCCCCATGGATGCAGGGATCATAAAATTAACAATTTTTGTTTTTCTTTATCAAAAGATGCCAAATACTCAAATTGGTTGAAAATGGTTCAGCCATTTCATAGAAAAAGATGTCATTGTCAGAGAGATCCTATAACATCTCAAGGATAAAGACTGATTAAAAAGTTGTGACAAAATATAAGTGGAACAACAAAGAAATAAGTAACACATTACCTTCACTGATGATAGTTCCTTCCAGACAATGCTGATGCTACTATCATTAGAATCTTCTACATAATATTCTGAAAAAAAAAAATATGTAGAACAATCAGTTTTCAGATGGGATCCTCTCAAGGAGAGATCATGGATCTACACTATGTGGTACATGCAAAACTGAATTCTTTTCAATTGAAATCCTTAAGTCATGTGTTATTAAAAATTTCCATACTTCAAAATAAAAATAATACCAATATTAGTCTTTGGAATCTGTGGGTCATGTACATGTGCTGCAACAGGGTTTTCATCATCCTGTGGAATGTGTGGTATATGTTCATTTGTTGCAACAAGGTCTTCATCCTTCTGCAGAACATGTTCATGTGCTGTAACTGAATCCTCATCAGTTTCCACCTCCAGACGGTTCTCTGTAATATATTCAAACAAGAATTTATTGGACTTAAGAGTTTAGTTTACAAGTTGTGTTTGTAAGAGTCTTCATACAATTCTAAGTATAGTAACAAATACCTGTGCTAGGCTGTGCAAGATATGATGCAACATGGTCCTTGTCATTCTGTGGAACATGTTCATGTGCTGTAACAGGATCTTCATCAGTTTCCACCTCCAGACGGTTCTCTGTAATATATTCAAACAAGAATTTATTGGACTTAAGAGTTCAGTTTACAAGTTGTGTATTGTAAGAGTCTTCATACAATTCTAAGTATAGTAACAAATACCTGTGCTAGGCTGTGCAAGATATGATGCAACAAGGTCCTTGTCATTCTGTGGAACATGTTCATGTGCTGTAACTGGATCCTCTTCAAGTGATCCATCAGTTTCCACCTCCAGACGGTTCTCTGTAATATATTCAAACAAGAATTTATTGGACTTAAGAGTTTAGTTTACAAGTTGTGTATTGTAAGAGTCTTCATACAATTCTAAGTATAGTAACAAATACCTGTGCTAGGCTGTGCAAGATACGCTGCAACATGGTCCTTGTCATTCTGTGGAACATGTTCATGTGCTGTAACGGGATCTTCATCACTTTCCACCTCCAGACGGTTCTCTGTAATATATTCAAACAAGAATTTATTGGACTTAAGAGTTTAGTTTACAAGTTGTGTATTGTAAGAGTCTTCATACAATTCTAAGTATAGTAACAAATACCTGTGCTAGGCTGTGCAAGATATGCTGCAACAAGGTCCTTGTCATTCTGTGGAACATGTTCTTGTGCTGTAACTGGATCCTCTTCAAGTGATCCATCAGTTTCCACCTCCAGACGGTTCTCTGTAATATATTCAAACAAGAATTTATTGGACTTAAGAGTTTAGTTTACAAGTTGTGTATTGTAAGAGTCTTCATACAATTCTAAGTATAGTAACAAATACCTGTGCTAGGCTGTGCAAGATATGCTGCAACAAGGTCCTTGTCATTCTGTGGAACATGTTCTTGTGCTGTAACTGGATCCTCTTCAAGTGATCCATCAGTTTCCACCTCCAGACGGTTCTCTGTAATATATTCAAACAAGAATTTATTGGACTTAAGAGTTTAGTTTACAAGTTGTGTATTGTAAGAGTCTTCATACAATTCTAAGTATAGTAACAAATACCTGTGCTAGGCTGTGCAAGATATGATGCAACATGGTCCTTGTCATTCTGTGGAACATGTTCATGTGCTGTAACGGGATCTTCATCACTTTCCACCTCCAGACGGTTCTCTGTAATATATTCAAACAAGAATTTATTGGACTTAAGAGTTTAGTTTACAAGTTGTGTATTGTAAGAGTCTTCATACAATTCTAAGTATAGTAACAAATACCTGTGCTAGGCTGTGCAAGATATGATGCAACATGGTCCTTGTCATTCTGTGGAACATGTTCATGTGCTGTAACGGGATCTTCATCACTTTCCACCTCCAGACGGTTCTCTGTAATATATTCAAACAAGAATTTATTGGACTTAAGAGTTTAGTTTACAAGTTGTGCAAGTGTTTTCCTACAATTCTGAATATATTAACAAATACTTATGATAGGCTATGCAAGATATGATGCAAAAATTACAATTCTAAATTGCTCTCTGTACTGCATGCAGGAGAGAATTCATTGTGATTTTCGTTTGTATTGGTAAACCATTTGATTTTAAAAACATTCACTGACAGAGGTACTTACCTTTTTTACTTTTCAACTCAAATGGGTCATCATCATCTGCATCATTATCAAGCTCTGTAATAATTTTAAGCAAAATTAGTCAAAAGTTTGTATAAAACATACTTCTGGTAAAGTATCAGTGCTGCATCGTATGTTTGCTAAAGTATCAGTGCTGCATAGTATGTTCACTCTGAATTTTGGAAACATGGTGTGTTTATACTAGGGATGTCTAAATGTGTAAATTTTCTGGTCAATTATTCAGTAGCTTTCGTCAAAGAATATTGGATTATTGTAGGCGAACATTTTTCCGTGTGGGATTAAATTACGCTATGAATGCAGTCACAAATTTTGACTGTTCATCATAATCAATTACTTCTATCTTCTGAAATAACTTGTGTACACGTGTCAGCATAATATCAAAATGAAGATAAATAATGTTGCTTTTTTACTCGAGAAAAAATCTCTGATTGCACAAAGCCTTGGACAAGGGTTTCTGTTTGAACTGACTTTGAAATTGACCAGCTACCCCACGCAAATGCACTTCTGTGTTGATAAAAGTGTAGACTGTAGTTGTGATTTCAGACTGCATTTCCGATCCCCCCTCTTTTTAAATCGCAAATGAATCTGATCTGCATACCACTCAGGAAATTTATTCTTCATATATTTTTTTTATTTCATTATATCCAGCAAAATCAAAGCTGGTGGAACATACCACATATGTATGTTTTCCAAGTCTTTTGATCATTGTGCTCATGAAGCTGATGTTCTTTGGAAGCATCAAATATGCACAGGACAGGCATATTCAAGTGACACAATGGTAATTTATCTCTCATATTTTCAATATATTAGGGTACTGTATTTTTTTGTAATGTTTACTTATGAATACATGTAATTTTCTACTCGGGGATTAAACAGATTTTGTGATTCCATGGAATTATGACCCTGTGGAAAAAAGTATGTTTACAGTATTCAAACTTTTTATTTACATACTACCACTGTTACAGTAATGTTCCCAGTTTAATGAATAAAATATATTGGCCAAATTAATTTACCGATGCATATACATGCGTGCAAAGTTCTACATTATACGAGGGCTGTTCGGAAATTATTGAGACATTCTGTATATTTTCCTTTCTAATGAACGTCTTTCGGTGAAAATTTGCACATACGTTTAACAAACATTAAGAATTCATAAAAGCAAGAAATATTTTACAAATATTAAATTTCTTTTCTTGAACTGTATATAAATGTGTCAATGGTAGGGGTACCCGGCGCAGTCACAAAATCAGATAATGAAAATATGTAACACCAATGTTCAACATGTGGACCCATAATAAGAACGAAAATAATTCAATTTATGTATATAATTTTTTAATTTTATTTTGACTTCATCTTGTGCAAGTTTGTTAGAATTCTGATCAGAAATATGGAGATCATTAAAAAAATTAAGCACGGTAAAGAAATCTGATAACGACGACAAAATGGATTTTGACGTCAAGGCAGAGCAGCAAGAGATCTAAAATTTTGTGTAGCACTATGTAAAACTCCTTTCCAGACTGACCAACCTGCTAAAACAATAATGAGAAAAAAACACGTCTAAGGGTTTGTTCCATGTATTTCATTGGTATATATTTTTTTCTAACCTATAATTCAACTACAGTAAAATCAAAAGCTCCGGACGACCACCAATTTTTACCATAACGAAATTAATAACGTTGACCTGCATTGCATATATCAGCACTGCATGATGCTAAG